ACGTGTGATTCATGAAACATTCGTATGCCGCTAATCTCATCGTACGAATGATCGCACGTTGATAAATGTGGCGGCAGAAAACAATCGTCATTTGAATATCACGCCCCTAAAAACACCCTGGTTTAGAAGCCTCGCCCCTAGAGTTTACGACACGGAGAAACGAAACCCGGCCAAAAAGAGAAAGTAATCTCGTGAAAGAGAAATTGATCTTACTCCAAAAACACCCATTAACCTTTTAATTGCAAACAATTATGCTACATTAATTTATGTAATTTATATGTATATTAAAATACTCGTAAATATAAACAGCCTATTTAGTTCCCGTCACTCAACAACAAATATTTTAAATTTAACGGTATTCAGAACAGAACAAGAATGAAAAATAAGTAGTTATAAAATAGAGGACCTTTTAAAATAAACAGTGTAACTTTTATGTTGGTTGACTGCATTTTAGTTTGATGATGAATGGCTGAAATGTCAGGCAACGGTAGAACTAATGTTGTTTGTGTGTGCGTGAGGCGCCTGTGCGATATAGCCTATTATATATTTTGTGTGATCCTATTTATTTTATTCCTTTTATAGACTTCATTTCTGTTTTTCTCCTTTCACAGAAGCGCTGCAGGTGCATTATGCGACAATTGAATCCTCATGGTCTTGTTCACGCTGCTATTTGCGCATTTATAAAGCTAAAGCCCTGTACAAAACAACAACAAACAAACAAAAAAACATCCTAATCTTACTGGTTAACGATTGACTAATGAGCTTCGTTTGACGGTTAGGACAATAAAAATTAACAAAATGCTGTCATTCTACAATTCTCCACCGTATTTACTATGCTGCGCGCAAGTTCAGGTAACTTAAAAACTTGCGTACACGAGCTGAGACCAGACGTGAGATTTGATCGTAGCCACCGCTCACGTCCATATTGATAAATTTCAAGTTTTTCGTTGAAATGACCGTACGCCCAATTTTCTGTCGTACGTTCGTTTCGTAAATGAGGCCCAGTACCTGCATTAAAACATACAATACAAATGTTTTTAAGATGATGGTTTATTTATGCTTTTCCACACAATATATCTTGCTTAATCACTATTTTAAAGGCATTGTATTTCATTTTTTGACTGAACTAAAGCATAAAAATACCATAATATATTTGCAGATTTTTAGGAAACATGCTAAGTTCACATATTTGTTTCTTCAACAAACAATGCTACAGTCAGTTATTCTGCCAGACGCAAAAATTGGAAGTGACCTGATGGCCTACACAATACAACACATTGAAAGCACTATAAGCCTCAATTTCATACCACTTTTGAGAAGTACAGTGACCGTACCATGGTACAATGATGGTATTACCATATCTCTCAATATATACACTACCAAAGAATTGTTACTTCACATAATAACACAGTACTAGCAAAAAGTCTATTGTAATACTAAGCTCCTTCTTTGTTAGTTGTATGAAGGCAGACTTGTAATAGCTGAACATTCATAAAATATTACTATCTTCAGGTTTTTAATACATGCATCAAATCATGCTAACAGTGACAACTTTATAAGGAATCATTTAAATCATAAATACACAGTAGTAACAGTGTTTTGATGTACACCTACATAATGAATTGTTGCCGTATTCATATACTACGGTATTTACTTGGTATTCTAAGATACTTTAAATAATAAATGGCAGGGCAAACATGCACTTTTAGGTACTTTTTAGGTATTAAGGCACTCTTGTAATGGCTAAACGTTCATAAAACATTACTATCTTCAGGTATTTATTATATCCATCAAAACATGCTAACAGCAAAAACCTTATAAGGACTAGTTTAAATCCTAAATAACCAAGTAGCAGATTTTAGCAAAATATATTCCAAACAAGATTTGTCCTGTCTAAACGCAAACACATTTCCAAACACACACACACAAGCATAAATAAGTCAGTAGCATATTTTAGCCTCGTTGGTACCTAGACCAAATACCAGGGTATTTTTGGTTCTTGTCTAAAGTGATATAGGATGACTTACCTTGGCTGCTCCGATCTGCTCTTTCCGGAATCTCTCCAAGGGTGTGATCAGAACATCATCAGCATTCTGTATCTGTGTCAAGCACAGACACAAGGTATTTCATGAGAAAACAGTCTTCATTAAACTACATCAACTTCTGTGAGGTTCACAGCTTGAATTAAAGTTAGAAGGCACATGTAACATTAACGCCAAAAGCTGAGAATTTTAACAAGCTCACTTTTATGAGCAAATTTGTGGTGCGAGTTTACATTTCTGCTTGTGAGAACATTCACACCAACACTTCAGGAGAGCAGTAATGATTAGTGTGATAAAACTTCATTCATCAGTATTCATTTAATGAGAATTCCAGAGCACACTGCTGCAGTACACTCCACGACTATTAAAATTAGGAAAATTAGCAATAATATGAACACTGTGAATTTGAGCAAAGGGTTTTTTTGTTTTAAACAGGCCATGAAACACACCGACGTTGTCAGAGCCGAGAGAAATATGGCCCTCAACAAGCAGAGAAGGAGTTTTACGTCCACAGATACAGTATGAAATATGTCTCTATATCTCTATATCATGCGCTCAAAAAGCCCCTCACAGCACACTGACAGAGATAGCAGGAGACTATGTCAGTTACAGCATCAGTCTGTGCGTGTGTTTGTTCGCCTACACTGTTCCAGATCCCAGGGTGTTCTGGGTGTTTGCTAGGCAGACGTATAATAATTACAGATAATGCTTAAAGTAACCTTTATACACTCTAAAAAATGCTGGGTTAAATATAACCCAGCGCTGGGTTAAAAAGGGACAAACCCAGCTATTGGGTTGTTTTAAACCCAAGAATAAACATTCCTTGACACAGTTTGCACAGGTATCACGAAAGGCATCTATTGTGCATGTGTCATAACCAGAATATTTGTGAAAGCCAGAAGCAGCTTTAACTGTACAGAACCTTAAACTGCATGCATGCATTTTAAGATTGTTCATGTTGTGCCCAAGAACAACTGAGAGCAGGATCCTAATTCTATAAAGGTCAACGGTGCCTCTGCACATGGTTGATGAATTATGTCTATGATTGGCTTTCCTGTAGTGCTTTTTGTTGCACAGCTGAATCAGCCTGCTTCTGAACATGCTATTCATTCCTACAGGCATGTCATGGAGGGGGTGGAGAGTGCTGTCCATGATGTTGTCCAGCAGCTTGGACATCATTCTCCTCTCCTCTACAACCTCCAGATGCTTCTGTTCCTCTCCAGTGAAAAAGTCTGCTTTCTTGATGAGCTTGTTCATCTCCAACATTACTCCCAGAGCCCTAGCTCACTACAGTGTAGAACAAGGCAGTCACATCAACAGACTGAAAGAACATGTGCAGCTACATACACCTGAGAAAAACCTGAGATTTCATTGCTCTGGCCCTTTTTAAAAAGATGAAGAGTCTCAGTGTTTTTTATCCAGTCTGCTGTCAATGTGAACCCCAAGGTTTCAAACCAGGGCTCTATGATATGATATTATATTAAACTGTTCCAGTCCTTGATTCTGATTGAAAAATAAGCAATCAAATAAACATAGCTTTAGAAAGAAATATTTATTTGACTCAGCATATAATTTATTACACCTAAACTTATAGGCTACAGTTGCCATGATTTTTTATCAGCTGCTGAATTTGAATTAGTATTTACAGACCGTTTATTGCAGCTCGGAGATAGCATGAATGCATTTACACTGCAACTTTAAATGCCATAAATAATGCAGTGAGATTATTAATGGGTTTTAAATGGACAGTTCACCCATAAATGAAAGTTCTGTGTTGCACGGAGATGCACAACAGTTCTGCTGTGGCTTTATAAATAATATTTTCGTTGGCAAAGTTGAGCAAAAACAGACAACAATACTGTGTCTAAAATAATTGACTAACTTCTTATTAAATAAACTCTTGTATAAAATGTATATCACATTTGCATTCATGCCATTCAGGACAAAAACAGCACTCGTTGCTCATGTGATATTGCTTAACTATATGGTATGATATAAATTTGAAACAAAAACCCATACAGGGGCATTTTTGCCCCAATATCTTGAACTTCACTCTATAGGCTACATCATGCAGTGATTTCTTACCCTGCATCATAACATTATAAATACAAAAAGATATCCTAATATAGCAATACAGAATGGATGAATATTATATTATATTATATTACAATGTTTAAATGCAAAAAAAAAAAAAAAGAAATAAGTTAAAGTCCGCGTGAACTGGAAGTTGAACTTCATTTCAGTATAGTGATGTATTTCCAACTGAAACAGAATATTGAATAGACGGCAGGGTTTTATTTTAGCGCTCCTCCTCTCCATCTCTCACTCATAGCAAACTAATGGTTGGAGGAGCGTGGATAAGCATATTCTGCCCAAGCCATGCCATGGCCCAAGCATCAAACTGACGTCATCAGAGCAGGAATGCCATTCCAGAGCGGAAGCAAATGTTGAGATTTTGATTAAAGATTACCAAGACAAACAATTTTTTTCAGTCGATTAACTTGCATGGATTAATTGCTCACCTCAAGACTAACAATGTACGCTAACAAACTAAACAGAGTCAATTTTGATTGCATGAAGACTTGTAAAAAATATATGTAAACTAAGGAAACCAGAATATATAAGCTACATCAAAGCAGCAAATATACCATGTATTTATGTCATGTCTTTTTAATGCCAATTAAATACCGCTCACACAATTTTCCTTCAAGTACATTTCTGCAGTGCATTGCAACTGCCATTGAGATGAATATGAATGCAAACAGATATTTCTCTCTCCACGTATTATAAACCTCCTTGCCCAAAACATGCAAACATTCCAGGTCAGGATGCACATCTGCGTATGTGGAGCAGACCTGCCGTGGCGGTGTGACATGACACTCGGTTTGATTAACAGAGTCATTCCGCGCCGTGAGGGTGTGTGATAAAGCTATAACACAGCACATAATACCTGGTCTAATTTTAGAGAGACCTTTCTCCTCCACCCTCTCTGGAGAGCGTCTCTCTCTACCCATAAATCAAAAAAGAATTGTTTTCATTGTCTCTAAAACCCCCTGAAACACACGGTCACCCTCACCTTTGCCTGACAAAGGCACACAAACCTCATCTACATCCGAACGCTCGGTGATTAGCCGCAAACCCCAAACCCTGCACGGCTTCTATCAGTTTCTCATTTCAGTCCTTTGTTTTGTTTCAATTCAGAAAGCACTGCTTCATTGGTATTCAAAAACGGCCCCCCTAAGCCTTGAATGGAGAATTTCGAAAGCGTAACTTTATCAAGGAATTACTGGTTAGATTAATATTCCGACACGAGAGAAGAACTGCGATGCGAGCGTCATCCCTACGGCTAGTGGAGACGATAAACGCTAAATGCGGCTAACTGGAAAGTAACTCAATAACTACTCCAATTTCCAGCTCATTCCTTGATTATTATTTTATGACCAATGAATAAAGCACGTGTATTCGAAACTCTGAACAATCCGTAGGGCACAAACAGTATCTTCCCTTAGATCTGAAAGGGATCCGATCTATATGATTTTAATGCACGAGTTGAATCAGGACACCTTGGCTGCACTTTATTAGCCGTTTGGAGTGGAAAGTCTTCACGGCTGATTTCATACCGTCTTAACTTCCCTGGCTGTAGAGCAAAACATCCTGCGCTGCAGTGCTCAGACACTGTGACTAATCTGAATCTGAATGACTTGATATCAACAGTGAAGGTTTTCATTGCATTTTTTTCCTCTGTAGTTGTGGAGGCAGTTCTCAGGACACTTGACCTTTGGAATTCATTTCGGGATGAGCTGCCGTAATCATCCTTATCTGGAATGGCCTGTCTTGACGGGGCCTTTGAAGAGAGTCTCACCTCTAGGGATCACATGTCACCGGAGACATACCAGGGACATAAAAAAAAGGCTTAAATCCAAAAACCAATTGCTTTATCATGCGGTAAGTTTATGTAAAACATACACGCAAAAAGCTGGAGTAAATAGATTTTACATTTCACTCCTTGGAACTGTTTAACACCCCAAGAGACGTCATGCCACGAGGCCTAAATACAATGCTAAAAGATGTGAAAAGCATAAAAAAAAAAAAAAAATCTAAAGCATAAGCACAAAGGAAAACAGTGTGTCTGTGAATAAATATAGATACTTTATCGCTTTTTGTCATATTATTGTGAGTAGTATGGTTAAAATAAACATATGTTAAAAAAAAAAGAAAAAAAAAGATTTGGAACATATACATTTCAAAGTACATAGTACTTTAAGATATACATGCAAATGTGTGTGGAAAAAGAACTAACTCAGTTCCTACTTTTTTCTTGCATATAAACAGAAATACATATAAAAAGTATTCAGAAAATAACCGAAAATGAAATATTCAATAATTAACACTCAAAAAAAATTTGAGATGTATATCAACAATTAAACTGCACATAAACACCACTAGATATGAGAGTTCAGAGACATCTACAATTATAAATTTTAATGAAACACTAAAGAAATCAGTCTGTTTTTTAAAAGCACTGAAAAATATATGAAAGTTGTTAGCAATCAAAACTTTTACTTAATCATATGATAGACTCATCAGCTCTTTCAAGTTACTCATAAAAACTTTTCATAAGAGATCAAAGCAAATGCCTGCAAGGAACAAAAGCACCTGGTTCATCCCGGGCATCTGAGAACAGTCGGCAGTGATCTATATACGACTCTAATTGGCGGCAGTGAGGTTGACTGCAACAATTTGCTTTGAGCTGAAAACCGAATGTCTGCTGAATTCATTTGGATGGCGTTCAACAGATCTCGCAGCACGCATGCCACCGGTGAACCTAAAGAGAGAAGGAAATCCATTTCGGCTCTGCAGCGTTACCCATAAGCCATTTCACCAGCAAGGTACATCTCATTTCTATGATGAACTCGTATTGATTTTTCATGACAGCATTTTCTCAATTAAGACATCAATTAAGTTGTGCTTATGCTAAGCGCGCTCTCAGCGAGACACAAATCTCACCGACCCGTTCTGCCTCATTATTCATCAAAGAACTAGGGATACACCGAAAT